TTACAGTGTGTACTGAGACTAAACTCCCATTCATTTAAATGGAAGTTTCATCCTAGAATGGACTGCAGGACTGGACCCCAAAGAGAAAGAGTGCAGATTTGGAAATTTCCTCTTCAGGAAATTACTTAAACACAAGTTTAAGTGCCACTGACTTCAACGGTACTTAAGCACATGCTTAACTTTAAGTGCATGCTTAAGCACCCTTCCTGAATATGGATGCTTTCCTGAATCGGGGTGAAATTTTGAGAGATGGACCCATGGAAGTTATTCTAACGGTCAAGCAGGCTCATTTTAATTGCATCAGCTAATTTGCAGATTGACACTTCTCTTCACAATTTTTAGATTTACACTTATCCCAGCTTGTTAGCATCCTCATTTACTATTTGTTAATGAAGGCTTCAAAAAAACAAAAACAAAACAAAAAAAAAAAATCAAACCAACCAACCACAGGCTTAATCCAGGCTCCTGCTAAATCTAGACAGACACAGAAACGCTGACGTGTACAAGTCCAGCATCAAGTCTGTTAACACTCTGCACTCAACAGATTTGCCAACTCACTCTCTGCTCTTTAAAGGATATGGTGCAAAACTCTCATCATCTGTTGCTAATACCCTGTTAATTTATGATTCAGTGAAATATGCTAATCTTAACATATACTTTTCATTTTTTTTAAATTGTTACTACTGAAAAGGACTAAATGAATCTATTAAGCTGAAGAAGTATGATTAGATATACTCTTCAAAACAGCACATTATAAAGAATTTTAGGTCTGAATTACAAAGTAGAGAATGACACTAATTTGTATGTGACACAGTTTTATAGTTCCTTTAAAAATACCTTTAAGAGCTGACCATCACTATAGACATTATACGTGTCCATTAAAACTCACAATAATGCAGTTAAATTTCATGGTGGACTCTGGAACACAGTCACAATAAAACAAAATGACCATCAACTTAGATAATTATGTCCTAGACTATGTATCCTCAGCTAGTTTGAAGCTGGGAAGGAGAAAGGAAAACAAACTTGTTATTAGCTGTTTGAAGACAATAACAAACCAAGTATGCCATCAGTATTTCAAACTGGAGAAGTTGCAGGAGACCATGAATATTCAAATATCAATGGTAAGTTCAAACCAAAATGGCACTTTTTTGGGGACTTGGAAAAGTGACTATTTGGAGCAGTACAGGAACTTTCACCAACTGTTGGCAAGGACTTGATCAAATGCAACAACTGCACTGCACTAAACTTCAGTTCCACTGACCGATTTGATGCCTTTTTTCCTCTCTCTCACACACATGCAAACTTCTTTCTTGATGTAAGATTTCTAGCTCAAAGTGCTATTCAGATGAATAGAGATCTAATATGTAGAGAAATTTCCCTTTCTAATATGATGTGCGTGTGTCATATCTCTCTCTCTCTCACACACACAAGGCTGATATGAAAGATAAGCTCAACTGAGGCAGGACAGCCTGCAGAAGTATTTAAAGTGAAATGTTGTTATTTCTATCAATCCGTTCCCTAACAACGCAACTAGCATTACTTGACATTCACAGATCGTACGAAGTAATATCTTTATCCTAATACTAATGCAAATTGGAAGGGCTTTTTTTATATTGATGTCTATTCTGTGGCTGCTGAATAGAGTGACCGCATGTTCAAGGCAGCAAAGGAGTTCACTGACCTCCCTAATCATCTCTGTCATAGCCAGTGAATGACAAACACATTCAATTCTGCCTTGCCTCTCTACTTTCATTCATAAAAAAAAAAATTGACATTGTTCTTCCTGCAGCAGCCCGAGAAAGGGAGAGAAGAGAAACTCAGCCTAGATGAGGCCCCTAGTGTTTTCAGTTTGGATTCTATTCAGCAACAACCCCGCCATCTGCCTTCTTCCTGCCAACAGCAGAACACCTCCCTGTGGAGATGTTAAAACTTGCACCCCCTCCACCTCCACTAATAGCTAGTATTCATATTAGCAAACATACACATACCTCTAGAATGCCTCCCTTCAATGTGTGTTTTATGTAGCTGAGCATAGGCACAAAGCAGTAGCTGTTACAGCCTTCACAGCCCCGTGTGGAGAATTAGATCACTAGGGAAAAATCCTTCCAAGCCCCTTTATGGAAAATAAGGCTTTAGACTGTAAATGCGAAAGCTAGTGAACAACAACCTTCAGTAATGAGCCAATACCCATGACCCATTTGACTAGGAGAAAGAATTTGCTTTTTGCCATTCAATTTAAAGATTGAAAAGTAAAACGTGTTTTTACTTGGCTCCAACTGTTTATATTCTTTATACAGTTTCTTTTGCAGAATCTTTTTCCAAAATAAGGGTGCCCTGTACATTCAAAATAGGTCCCTTACCCTTGAGTGACCAGCCAATTAATCATCATTACAAGCCACCCAAAAATTCTCACTCCATATTTCAGATCTGTCAGAAGCTTCTGTCTCATTTTAGTGGCTTTGTACATGTACCTGTTTTCCCCAAAATCAGCTCTGTTGCTGTTACATTTTGCACATCAACATGATGTCAAAAACACCGCTATTTTCAACAACTGTAACCAACAGAGAAATATTTTAAAATATGCTCTACCTTAGAAGCACTCAGCTGGGGCCTAATCCGGCCCCATCTGAAGTTGTATAGCTGTTTCAGTATTGATTTCAGCAGGGTCATTACTTTTAAAAGCTAATATGGTAAAAATAGACTTGAACGTAGAATTTTCACCACCAACTTTGGAAATTCCACAGCGTAACTTAGCTCTTCAACACATCAGCGTAGGACCATTTTCTTTAACCACTTACAGTCTAGCAACACGCTGGAAGCCATTGATTGTGCATCATTTGATATATTTCAAATGCCATCCTTTTAACTTAAAATGCAAGCCAGGTTGCTTTAAAGAACAGAACATTACCATGGTAAAATAGTGCCATGGGCTGCAAACTGAGATCTCAGTTCGTGGGTATAAACCCATAGGTACTCCAATGGAGGCAATGGGGGCACTCCCAATTTATCCTGGTGTTACTGAGAACAGAATTTGGCTCAAACAGGCCAAAAAATAAAACAAAAAGACTAAAACAGGAAAAAATCTGGACTACTAAACTGAGTGAACTCCTGAAAAGCTCACTAGCACAGGCTGCTCTTGTTTCCTCTTAAAACACCATATTCAGCTGCTTTGACAAAGTAGCTGAGATGTTGCCCCATAAATCAATTATTTTGGCTGTGAAAAATGAGCCAAATGAGTTACACTAAGAATCTAGTGTTTTATTAGTACTTTCTTGAAAACAAAACCAACCCCCAGTGCGATTTATAGCTTTAACCAAAAGGGGTATGGAAGTAAAGCCCCCACCTCCCAGCCTCCACGAAGCACATTTATTCCCCTGTCACTTTTTTGGCGAACATGCTTCAAACCCTTTCCTGAACAATGGAAACTTTCTGTTTGGTACATGGAACCTTTAAAAAAAGAGAGAGACGACCTTCCATTAAAGGCCTCTGAAAAATAAACAGACTCAGGTAGCAGCTGAGGCATATCGGAGAGACACCAATTTTAAACATTCCGTATATTTTTAAAACAGCTTTTGTCCTGTATGTTAACTTTGCTCACTGATTACGTTAATGTTTCACTTGAAAAGGATAGTTACTGGATTCCCATAAACACTTTCTTTCTCCCTCTCAATATGTTCACAATTCAGCACACATTATTTCATTACTTAAATTAAAAAAAAAAAAAAGAACCACGATTCTGGTTTTATCCCTGCAGAGTGTACTTACACACACACACGAATATTTAAAGAGACATTTTAAATTAATACAGAATAAGAGGTATGGTGTCCATGTAACTATCTTTGCTTTTCCAAGCTCTGATTAGTAATTTTGACATGAACCAAATCTGTAACAGCGGTACATGTCATGACTCCAGCCAGCAAGCAAAACAAGCCCGCTCGCTAAATGAGACCACTTTTAATAACTGTTTTTGCTCACTATTTTCCTAGTCTCTGTAAGCAAAAATCCAACTACAAAGCAAACACTACAAAGTGCATGGGACACATTTCACAAGTCGAATAGATCATGAGGGCATGTTTGAACAGTGGATTTGTACAGTATTTCTAACTGAAGTTTAAATCCTGACCTTGGACTCCAATATTTAAAACATCATGGTAGTCACTCTATGTGAGTTTAAAAGGTGCTTATATTTCTTGCTAACCAGAATTTTAGTGGGCAAGGCTCTTTATAAATAAAGATTATCATTATTTATACAGTCTAGCCCTCTCCATCACTCTGCTGAGGATGGACATATATTCACTTTATCTGTGGGCCACCTCTGTCACAGTGCTCTTAAGCAGCTACCAAAAAAAAACCTGACTGTCAACTGAAAGTCAAATTCAATGTTACTGGAAACCCTGTGAACAATTAAAAATCACCTTTTAGGACAGGGGGTTTGTTGGCTGGTATAGGTGGAACTTACTGCAGTTTTAGTATATCTTAATTTTTACCCCTTGAAGAGCCTCAGTTATCAATTAATGTAGTAACACCAGTTCTCATTGGTGTGCCCATGCAGATGAAGGTGGCCGGAAAAACAAAACACCAAAATCTTTTCTGATGAAGTGAGCTGTAGCTCACGAAAGCTTATGCTCAAATAAATTGGTTAGTCTCTAGGGTGCCACAAGTCCTCCTGTTCTTTTTACTTTGGAACTGTGTTGCCAAAACAATGCACCTGCAAAGCTGTGCAGCTCAGATGCATGCAACAGGGCTGTTCCTCCTGCTGCTTTAACGTTTACATTTAGTTTGCCTGGGAGAACACCAGGATTGCAATTGCACAAGGAGATGGAAATCTTGTGCATTTATCATGACTGCTGGTGAAGTAAGCTGGCAAAGCAACAAGGATTCCTTGGAGATTTGTCCCCATTCCCCCTCCCCTGGAAGACTGCAAGAGCAAACCCAACCGCTGGATGGGACCGGTACCAACATTCACAGCACCCAGCATCCTGTACAGCTGCCCTTACCTGTTGGTTTCCGAGTGATCCTGTCTTCTAGGTCTGAGATGGGCAGCCTGGCTTCTGGGAGGCTGCTGACAGTCACCACCAGGTAAAAGCAAAAGAAGGCACCCCACGCAGCAATCATTCCTCTGGCAACGCTCGGAGAAAGCAGAGTAGTATGAAAACTGCCCCAGCCAGCCTCAGACATCCTCCGGCCGCATGCTGTCCCTTCCCCGGGGTCCCGGCTGCGATGGGGATCACTGCTGCCCAGCCAATGCCCTGCCACGAGAGTGAGAGACGCGCGCAGACCGGTGAGTCCCAGGGAGCAGCACCGCAGAATTAAAGCAACAGACTCTCTCTTTCACGTGAAAGCGCTGCGATCTGCAGCCGCGTCTTCTTTTAAGCGCAGAAGTTGCAGGACTGGTATTAAAAACACCACCCGATGAACAGCTTTCCGGGGTACACGAGTTTGCAAGCCACGCAAAAGCTCCTTCCCTGAGCTGCTTTACCACGTACTAACGCGGCAATCGCCTGAAACACCGCCGCCACAGTTCCTCGGCGTTGTGTACCCAAGATGCAAGCCACTTAACGACACCAGCTCGTCTGCTTTTTAGCGGTGTGTAAAAACTACCTTAGACTTTTGAGAGTCAACGCTGCAATCTGTCCTTTTCTTTTAAAGGAAAATCTGCTTCTCTACTTTTTTTTTTTAACGCACAGAAGTTGCACTCGGTTGTCTTTCTTTCCCTGTTTACCAGCTTTCCATTTTTGCGGCCCAATAAAGCAAAGGTAAATGTAACCCAATCAAGCTGCGCTCTGCCTTGTTCTTAAAATGTGCAAATGAAACCTCCATCCCCATCCCGCTCCCCTCCCGTTTCGGAAGGTCTCGAGAGAGGCTACACTGTAACGAGCTGGCTGGGGCTGCATCTCTCGCCGCACAACCAGGAGCGGCGAGGCGACAGAGAGGCGCTGCGAGCTCTCGCACGTCCCTGGGAAACTTTTCTTTTTCATTCCCTTTGAAAAACAAGCCCGCAAGTCCCAGGCAAGAGCCAGCAACCCCCTGCCAGGCGCAGCGATGCGCTCCCTCGATCTCTGCAAAGCAGCCCCGGGGGCTTCGCCTGGGGATCCCCGGGGCTGATGGGCTGCAGCCCCTCGCCAGCTAGTGCAAGGAGCTGGGGGGTCCCTGCCAGCACCCCCCCTTACCGGCTGCAATGCAGGCCCCCCAAAGGGAGAACGAGCCGGCCCCGGGAGGGGGCCGCCAAGAGCCCCCGAGGGAGCGGAGCTGCCCCCCGACGCGGCGCCCGGCGGCGGCTGCCCTGCCCAGCCCGCTGCCTCTCCAGCGCCCGCTGCCAGCGGGCAGGGACGGTGCCCCGCGCTCCCGCTGCAGCCCGAGCCCGGCTGTTCGCGGGTCACCTACCTGCCCGAGTCCCGCGGCAGCCCCCGGCGCTCCCTGCCCCGGCACCGCCTGCTCATGGAGCCGCCGCTGCCGCCTCTTCCCTCCCGCAGCCCCAGCGCGTCTGAGCCGGCCGCCCGGCCGCTCGCAGGGGAGCAGCCGCCGCGCTGACCCCGCCTCCCCCCGCCTGGCTGCCAGGCCGGGGGTGGGGCGGCTCCTCCCCACGCCCCGGCCCCCGAGCAGGGGGCGGCTCCTCCCCTCCGCGCCAGCCCGTCGGCCCCCGGGCCCGCAGCCCGGCCCGGCCCGGCCCGGCCCGGCTCCCTCCGGCCGGGCAGGGCACGTGGGGCCGCAGCCGTCAGAGCCCGGCCAGTGAGTCAGCGGCGGTGCCCTGAAAGAGGGGTTCGCGGCAAGAGCATTGCGTCAGTTGTAATGCAAGAGGTGCTGGGGAGCAAGCCACTTTTTTCATTCGTAACTGAGGCAGCAAGCCCGGAGGTGCCGGGGCTATGAACTGCCAAGCCCGGAGGTGCCCGGGCTAGGAACTGCCACGCCTGGCCCGGGCACAAATTAAGCGCTGGGCAAGACGCTGACTTCAGAGCCCTCCCAGCTTGGGGAGAGTTTGGGTCTGCCCCTCTGCCCCCCCAACTCCAGTCCCGGAGCATGTGCTGGACCAGAACCCAGATCCCAACGGCCCTGAACGAGTTGGTTTGGAAACACGGAGCAGAGAGCTAGACTGTTAAGCTCCCTCTCAGAGACAGCAAGCAGAGTGCCACATCTCTGGGGACCCCTGAAACTGGAATGGACATAGCCCTGCACAATATGCTATGAGGAACAGTCCTGCACCGCCAGGGGTGATGGACTAGAGCCGTGGCTCTCCCCCTTTCAGGAGTCTGATTGGTCTTGTGTACCCCCAAGCTACACCTCACTTAAATACTACTGTATGTGCTTACAAAATCAGACATAACAATACAAAAGTGTCAGCTGTACACTATTACTGAAAAATTGTTTACTTCCTCATTTTTACCATTTAATTATAAATCAATTGGAATATATTGTACTTACAATTCAGAGTACAGAATATAGAGCAGTATAAACTAGTCATTGTCTGTATGAAATTTTAGTTTGCACTGACTCCTCTAGTGCTTTTTATGTAGCATGTTGTTAAACTAGGCAAATATCTACATGAGTTGATGTACCCCCTGGAAGTCCTCTGCATACCTCCAGAGGTACACATACCCCTCGTTGAGCACCACTGGACTAGAGGAGTTTTTCCTTGCTGATTCCTGTTATTCTTACTATTTTGCTTACATCGTATGATTTGATGGAGTTATAGCAATCCAAGCTGGAAAAGGCCTTTGAGGTCATCTTCTGCTGAGTGGGGCGGAGGAGGGTTGGGAAGGGGAAGAGAAATGTTTGGGTCTGAGTGATTCCTGCTGTTGTCTCATTAGTTATATATATTTATAAAATGACAGAAACATCCTTTCAAAGGCTGTTATAGTCTCAGTATGCACACAGAGGGTGTTATGAGAGTTCATTATTTAATATTTATATGGTGCTTTCCAACAGTAAAGGCTACATAAGTGCTATTTTTCATTGTTTATGCTTAATTATTATTATTTAACAGGGACAGTCTATTCTTTTATCCCACACTTTTTTTTCCATGTTATTATCTTCACTAGAGAAATATTTGTAGATCATATCACTTGTCCCACAACTTCCTAAACTGTGGGTGGGCATCAGCTACACTGATTTATTAATTATTAGTATCTTTTTAATAGGAGGAGAACAAAAAGAGACAAAAGCATTTTGCTAGGTTGCTTCTGAGCATTGTAACATTAGAAGCACAGCCTCCAGAAAGCCATAGTTTTCAAAGACTCCACCCTCTCCTAAAATAAAGTCAGATTCTTCTCAGCATAATCAGCTCCTCCAGAATGAAGCCAGGCTCTTCAGCAGACCATCCTCTTCACCACGTGTGAGAGATTAAAATTAGTTTAAAATCTTACAAATATACCATAATCATCTCAGGCGCTGTAATATACCACAATTGACTCACTGTCATGCATCATTTATAGCTAAGAGGTGATTCAAATTGTTTTGTGCTGGGAATAAGTCATAGTTTTGTCTTAATCCTCTTGACATAGTAAATCCCTGAGATAGGGAGATGAAGATATTATCCACATCAGCTGAGAAAGCTCTTGGGGGATCCAATAAAGCAAGCGGGTGTAATAGTTAACCTCTTAAAGCAAATAGATACAGGGCATTGTCAAAATTGTAAAAATCTAAGGCAAATGTTTTGGCACTTGGCAGCTTTGAGATTTCCTTGTAGTAAACCAAATTAAAGATGATGATCCACGTTTAGATCTCTTTGCCAGTCTGGAGTCAGTCACTCTTGACTTCAGCAGAATTACTCTGAGATTGCACCATTGTAACTGAGATCAGATTCTGTCAAGATACCTTTATCAGTCACAGAGATATTGATGTCTCAATACTGTCGTACCATGTCAGGAAAAATTGATATGGGTCTAGGGTAAGGAAACCCCAGATCTCAGCAGCCCTCTCATGTGAGAACATGAATTTTAACTGAAAACAATGGTGGGGTGGGACTCAGACACTTTAATAAAATAGGGTTATTGTACAGGCACAAAGATCATTTGCTAGTGTGTCAAGTTGCAAGATGGTGTCGCTCACAAATGCTAAGTTCTTGGTGCCAGAAAATCAATAAATAGTACAATAATTACAATGACAATAATAAATTAACATAGCACAGAAAGGGGCACATTGTGATCTCCTGGTCATTTTGAAGATGTCTAGGCCCTTGTCTTTTTGAAGACATTGAGTCAAATTCTGATCTCATTTACATGTATCATTAGTGTACAGAATTTGGCGCTGCACAGAGAGCAGTAACACAATTAATTATCCCTCATAGTACTTCAGTAATTATTATGGTCCATGGTACATGAGGACACTGAGGCAGAGAGGTTAAGTAAATTTCCTAAATCCACATAAGGCAGCTAGAGATAGCACAAAGAATTCCTTGCTCCTAGGTCTGTGCACAGCACACTATATCCTGCTGCCACATCAGATGAAGCTAAATTCTACCGTGACCTTGAATCATTGAAATGTTGGATCAAGATAAACCCTGAAAGGGGTTATTGACAGAGTCTTGGGGCAAGAGTTGTGTTTAGAAAATATAACATCTGATCCCAACATAGTGAATTGGGAGATTGCCTCTTATGCTAGCTGAGATATGTAAAGATCTGAACATGCAATCATATAAACTCAACACATTAATGGTTTTGAACTGTTTTTCATATGGAGGAAAACTAAACACTTTGGGAGCTCTTTGCAACAGAAAATCAAAGTGGTATTGAGATAGTCCTCTAAGAAGACTTTCACAGTTTGTAGTTTTCCCCAGAGCAGGATATTTTTAGGTTTCCCTTTTATCAAAGCTTGCCCCCAGTACATTCAACTGAAATGGTGGAACACAGATCCACTTAAGCACAGATTTTTGGGAACTGCCTCACTGCATTCTGTGGTGACAACTGTAACAGCTTCCTAGATGAAGTGTATGCAGCTAAAAACTAAGATTCTAACTTGTATCTTGGTCAAATTCTTACTAAAAAGTCAATTTATATGCACATGTAAACACTATACAACACTCTGAATTTATTTTGAAGTCATTATGCCAAAAGACACATAGTATCTATCCCCAGACAGATATACTGAGTGTACCTTTCATCTTAATTTATTGCTACATTTAACAAAGAAAAATATACTGGATTTTTTCCTTTATCAGACTGTAGGAATCACTAACATTATTAAGCATTTGTTAAGTTTTTACTCTTTATAGAAAGTGCATTCACAGACTGTACATTAGTATTCTAAGTGCCCTTTAATATCCGCAGTTGTCTGTGATGAAAATCAAGTCACTTTAAGATGCTCTAGCTAGAGCAAGGGCTGCATTTGTTCTTGTGAATACGTGACATAAGTATGTTGCCAGTGTTCTCAGCAACAGATCCTATTAATGTTTTGTTCTAACACCATATTAATATGCCTGGACCCTGTCCTGGAAGAAACTGTCAATGCCTCCTATTGAGGGCAATCTGTTGACAGCTCTGAAACAAGTTATAGTCAGGCAGCCACTAGAGAAATCAAATCTAAGGACGAGCATCTTGGCCAACTACCTCTCATTCGCCAACTACCCCTTATCAAGAAAACTCATTTAGAAGATGCTGATTGGCTAGCTTCCCAACCATTTAATGTCCTAAAGCTCTTTGTATCCCATTTGATCAGGGTTCAGAAGGCAAGGGATGAACGCTGGCTGTCCTTACTGAAAGAAGACACTTCTCAATTTTTCAGCAGCCATTAACGCAGTCAATCACAAAGTGAGCTGTAGCTCATGAAAGCTTATGCTCAAATAAATTGGTTAGTCTCTAAGGTGCCACAAGTACTCCTTTTCTTTTTGCGAATACAGACTAACACGGCTGTTACTCTGAAACCAATCACAAAGTGTTGCTGGCACTTGTTACAGTGGATAGAATAGCCTTCAAGTGGTTCTGCTCATTCCTTTCTCAGCCTATGGTGGTGGGTAATTTCTCCTTATTCCTGACCACTCTCAGCAATCCTCAATCCTGTCACCTCTTTTGTTCAACATCTATGTGAAGTTGCTAGATAAGATTGTGAGATGATAAGGGTTGCAGCAGTGTCATAACTACACCAACGTCACTCTGCTGTGCATCTCCTTGTTGTCTCATGGCAACCCAATGTCTGGTGAAAACTAGGATCTATTTGGAAAGATATCTGACTGCAATTCAACTCAGGCAAGGTGGAGGTGATACTGATTGGCAGTTGGAAGGGCTTTGAGGACTTGGTGAAATCTACAACTGTTCCCTCAGTTGAGAGCGTCTGTCGAATTGTCATCAAATAGACTGGTTTCAGAGTAACAGCCGTGTTAGTCTGTATTCGCAAAAAGAAAAGGAGGACTTGTGGCACCTTAGAGACTAACAAATTTATTTGAGTATGAGCTTTCGTGAGCTACAGCTCACTTCAGATGCATTCAGCGAAAGCTCACGAAAGCTTATGCTCAAATAAATTGGTTAGTCTCTAAGGTGCCACAAGTACTCCTTTTCTTT